CCTCATCCTCTTCTTCTTCATCCTCTTCTTCTTTTTCTTCTTCTTCTTCATCCTCATCTCCTTCTTCATCATCCTCATCCTCTTCTTCTCCTTTATTCTTCTTCTTCTTCTTCTTCATCATCATCTTCTTCTTCATCCTCATCTTCTTCTTCATCCTCATCTTCTTCTTCCTCATCCTCTTCTTCTTGTTCTTCTTCATACTCATCCTTTTCTTCTTCTTCTTCTTCTTCTTCTTCTTCTTCCTCATCCTCTTCTTCTTCTTCATCCTCATCCTCTTCTTCTTCATCATCCTCATCCTCTTCTTCTTCTTCTTCTTCATCCTCATCCTCTTCTTCTTCTTCTCCTTCTTCTTCTTCATCATCCTCTTCTTAATCCTCTTCTTCTTCTCCTTCTTCTTCATCATCCTCATCCGCATCCTCTTCTTCTTCATCATCCTCATCCTCTTCTTCTTCATCCTCATCCTCTTCTTCTTCTTCATCCTCTTCTTCCTCATCTTCTTCATCCTCATCCTCTTCTTCTTCTTCATTCTCATCCTCTTCTTCTTCATCATCCTCATCCTCTTCTTCTTCATCCTCATCCTCTTCTTCATCCTCATCCTCTTCTTCTTCATCATCATCCTCTTCTTCTTCATCCTCATCCTCTTCTTCTTCTCCATCATCATCCTCTTCTTCATCCTCATCCTCTTCTTCTCCTTCTTCTTCATCATCCTCATCCTCTTCTTCTTCATCCTCTTCTTCTTCTTCATCCTCATACTCTTCTTCTTCTTCTTCTCCTTCTTCTTCTTCTTCTTCTTCATCATCCTCTTCTTAATCCTCTTCTTCTTCTCCTTCTTCTTCATCATCCTCATCCGCATCCTCTTCTTCTTCATCATCCTCATCCTCTTCTTCTTCATCCTCATCCTCTTCTTCTTCATCCTCATCCTCTTCTTCTTCTTCTTCATCCTCTTCTTCTTCTTCCTCATCTTCTTCATCCTCTTCTTCTTCTACATCCTCATCCTCTTCTTCTTCTTCATCATCCTCTTCTTCATCCTCATCCTCATCCTCTTCTTCTTCATCCTCTTCTTCTTCTTCTTCATCATCATCCTCTTCTTCATCCTCATCCTCTTCTTCTCCTTCTTCTTCTTCTTCATCATCCTCATCCTCTTCTTCTTCTTCTTCTTCTTCTTCTTCATCCTCTTCTTCTTCCTCTTCTTCTTCTTCATCCTCTTCTTCATCCTCTTCCTCTTCTTCTTTTTCTTCTTTTTGTCTTTTTCTTGCAGGTCACTGCTCATGCGCAGATTTTTTATCGGTAAAAAATCGGCCGATTTGCCCACTAATTGCCGCGAAAATCGGCCGATCAGCAAAATTGGACGATTTTTTTCCAACTTTACCAAAAAAAAAAAACGGCCAAAATACCCGAAAAACGGCCGAACAAATAGCCCACTAACGATCCGAAAATCGGCCGATTTTATTTTCGGCCGAAAAATCGGCCGATTTTCGACCCATCTATGGTCTGCATTAGACTGGGGGGCCATGAAAGGTCATGTGCGTGGAAAGGGCGGGGCCAACTCAATATTGAACCCTACGGACTAAGGCTGGGGGGCCATTAAAGGTCATGTGTGTGGAAAGGGCGGGGCCAACTCAATATTGAACCCTACGGACTAAGGCTGGGGGGCCATTAAAGGTCATGTGCGTGGAAAGGGCGGGGCCAACTCAATATTGAACCCTACGGACTAAGGCTGGGGGGCCATTAAAGGTCATGTGTGTGGGAAGGCCGACGCCCAATACTTGGGGGAATATAGTGTATATTATACAGGAGTGACATCAGTTATGAGGACATTTCCAAATACTGTTATTAATAATAAAAATACATTTTATTAGCTTCCTGCTGCTGGTTACAAATCATATGTAATTGTTGTCTTAGTTTAGAATAGCTCCGGCCTATTTAAATGAACCCTTTTATTCCTGGAATATGCTGAATGCGCACGTGTTCTACAATTCGGACAGCAGAGGGCAGCACTGCACCTGTCTCCTGGCTGCAGCTGGCTGGGGATTATAGTGAGATGTTAGTTGGCTCCGAATTAAAGAGACCGTCCATCTACAGGGGCCACAGTATCAGGCCGCTCCAACCTCTGATCAGTGTACAATCTTTTCTGATGGAAAGCAGCCAAACCTCGCAGGATCCTCCTTACAGGAGCTTACACTCTAATGTCCCCTCCCCCACAGTCACATCAGTCTCTGTACCAGAGGAGCTGACACTCTAATGTCCCCTCCCCCACAGTCACATCAGTCTCTGTACCAGAGGAGCTTACACTCTAATGTCCCCTCCCCCACAGTCCTATCAGTCTCTGTACCAGAGGAGCTTACACTCTAATGTCCCCTCCCCCCACAGTCACATCAGTCTCTGTACCAGAGGAGCTTACACTCTAATGTCCCCTCCCCCCACAGTCACATCAGTCTCTGTACCAGAGGAGCTTACACTCTAATGTCCCCTCCCCCCCAGTCCCATCAGTCTCTGTACCAGAGGAGCTTACACTCTAATGTCCCCTCCCCCACAGTCACATCAGTCTCTGTACCAGAGGAGCTTACGCTCTAATGTCCCCTCCCCCCAGTCCCATCAGTCTCTGTACCAGAGGAGCTTACACTCTAATGACAGCCGCCAGCACCATAACAAACAAAGGCACTGTGAGGGGGGAGGCTGTGTGATTGGGGGACCTCTGGTTAGATGGGGGGGGGGGGGTTGATGTGATGGGGAACCTTTGCTGTGATGGAGGGACTCTGATGTGATGGGGGGAGGGACTCTGATGTGAAGGGGGCTCTGATGTCATGGGGAGATGTCTGACATGATGGCTGGATCTCTGATGTAAAGTGGGGACTCTGGTGTGATGGGAGAGGGTTCTGACGTGATGGGAGAACCTCTGATGTGATTGGGGGACTCTGATGTAATGGGGGGGGCATCTGACATGATGGCAGGACATTTGCTGTAAAGGGGGCCTCTGATTTGAAGGGGGGACCTCTGGTGAGATGGGGTACTCTGAGAGGAAGGGGGACTCTGGTGTGATGGGAGACCACTGATATGAAGGGGGCCTATGATGTGATGGTGGTACATCTGACATGATGGGAGAACCTCTGATGTAAAGGGGGCCTCTGATTTGAAGGGGGGGGGACTCTGGTGAGATTGGGGACCTTTGAGGGGAAGGGGGCACTCTGGTGTGATGGGGGACCACTGATATGAAGGGGGCCTGTGATGTGATGGTGGTACGTCTGACATGATGGGAGAACCTCTGATGTGAAGGGTCAACTCTGGTGTTATGGGGGACCTCTGAGAAAAAGGGGGAACTCTGGTGTTATGAGGGCCTCTGATTTGAAGGGGGGGACTCCGATGCGATGGAGTCATATCTGTTCACCCGGTGCAACCTCTTCTTTTATATTTGACCAAACAAAGTGGCACTTTATTGGGTCACTTTCGCCCTAAAATGAACTTTGGTGGATTTTTCACTGAAATTTCGCCTTTCCTGGACCGTCGCCCCGATATCGGGTCACATAAAATCCTGGAGGGACCACCGATGTGTTCTCCGGGGTCCCCGCTGTCCGAAAATATCTCCTGTTGGGGGCTTCATCCGATCTTCTGGCCTAAAATGATTTTTTTTAAAAAACACGAGCGCCAGAAAAATGCAAAAACGTCTCCGGCAGCGGAAGGGTTGAAGCCGATTCTGTGCTGATGTTTTATGGGGTTTTTTTGTTGTTTTTTTTTTTTGTTTTTTTTTTTATTATTTTTTTTTTATTATTATTATTATTATACACAGGATTTATGGCGCCAACAGTTTGCTCAGCACTTTACAATATAACGGGAGACAATACAGCAACAATACAGTTCAATACAAGAGGGATAGGAGGGCCCTGATCCCGGGAGCTTACAATCTAGGAGGGAGGGGCTAGTGGTACAGTAGGTAGTCACTGTGGGGGATGGACTGGTTGGAAGAGTAGAGGATTCCAGAATTAGCTGAGGGCTGGATAGGCTTCCCTGAAGAGAGAGGTTTTCAGTGATCGCCGAGAGGCAAGTAGAGTAGGTGATAATCTGATAGATTGGGGTAGGGAGTTCCAGAGGATGGGTGACGCCCTGGAGAAGTCCTGGAGATGAGCATGGGAGGAGGAGAGAAGGGAGCTGGAGAGCAGGAGGTCGTGCGAGGAGCGGAGAGGACGGTTTGGGTGATATTTAGAGACAAGATCGGTGATGTAATTGGGGGCGGAGTTATAAATGGCTTTATATGTCATTGTCAGAGTTCTGAATTTTATTCGTTGGGCAACTGGGAGCCAGAGGAGGGATTGGCAGAGAGGGGTGGAGGACATTGAGTGGAGGCCAGTGGAGGGATTGGCAGAGGGGGGGAGGGACACTGAGTGGAGGCCAGTGGAGGATTGGCAGAGAGGGGTGGAGGCCAGTGGAGGGATTGGCAGAGGGGGGTGGAGGACATTGAGTGGAGGCCAGTGGAGGGATTGGTAGAGAGGGGGGTGGAGGACACTGAGTGGAGGTCCAGTGGAGGGATTGGCAGAGAGGGGTGGAGGACATTGAGTGGAGGCCAGTGGAGGGATTGGCAGAGAGGGGTGGAGGACACTGAGTGGAGGCCAGTGGAGGGATTGGCAGAGAGGGGTGGAGGACACTGAGTGGAGGCCAGTGGAGGGATTGGCAGAGGGGGGTGGAGGACACTGAGTGGAGGCCAGTGGAGGGATTGGCAGAGGGGGGTGGAGGACATTGAGTGGAGGCCAGTGGAGGGATTGGCAGAGAGGGGTGGAGGACACTGAGTGGAGGCCAGTGGAGGGATTGGCAGAGAGGGGTGGAGGACACTGAGTGGAGGCCAGTGGAGGGATTGGCAGAGAGGGGTGGAGGACACTGAACGGTTAGTAAGGTGGATGAGTCTGGCAGCAGCATTCATGATAGACTGAAGAGGGGATAGCCTGCGATGAGGTCGGCCAATGAGGAGGAAGTTACAATAGTCGAGGCGAGATATAACAAGAGAGTGAATGAGTTGCTTAGTGGTTTCCGGGTTAGGAATTGTTGTATCTTGGAGATGTTGTGGAGGTTGGAGGTGTTGCGGAGGTTGGAGGTGTTGCGGAGGTTGGAGGTGTTGCGAAGGTTGGAGATGTTGCGGAGGTTGGAGGTGTTGCGGAGGTTGGAGATGTTGCGGAGGTTGGAGATGTTGCGGAGGTTGGAGGTGTGTTGCGGAGGTTGGAGATGTTGCGGAGGTTGGAGGTGTTGCGGAGGTTGGAGGTTTGCGAAGGTTGGAGATGTTGCGGAGGTTGGAGGTGTTGCGGAGGTTGGAAGTGTTGCGGAGGTTGGAGATGTTGCGGAGGTTGGAGATGTTGCGGAGGTTGGAAGTGTTGCGGAGGTTGGAGATGTTGCGGAGGTTGGAGATGTTGCGGAGGTCGGAGGTGTTGCGGAGGTTGGAGGTGTTGCGGAGGTCGGAGATGTTGCGGAGGTCGGAGATGTTGCGGAGGTCGGAACGTTGCGGAGATCGGAGACGTTGCGGAGGTCGGAGACGTTGCGGAGGTCGGAGACGTTGCGGAGATCGGAGACGTTGCGGAGGTTGGAGATGTTGCGGAGGTCGGAGGTGTTGCGGAGGTCGGAGGTGTTGCGGAGGTCGGAGATGTTGCGGAGATCGGAGATGTTGCGGAGGTTGGAGATGTTGTGGAGGTCGGAGGTGTTGCGGAGGTCGGAGGTGTTGCGGAGGTCGGAGATGTTGCGGAGATCGGAGATGTTGCGGAGGTTGGAGATGTTGCGGAGGTTGGAGATGTTGCGGAGGTTGGAGGTGTTGCGGAGGTCGGAGATGTTGCGGAGGTTGGAGATGTTGCGGAGGTTGGAGTTGAAAACTGAATGGGACTTCCAATATTTTTTTTTTTTTTTCGGGAAATGGCGCCCCGGGAGGTTTTGGTAAAGAACAAAAGCAGCTCCGGCTGCAATTCCTGTAGTTGTCCTCAGCGTTGCCATTAGACCGGTGACAACCTGTGAGTGCCGGGTGTCATGACCCCGCCCCCAGAGGGTTAAAGCAGAAGGAGCGTTCTGGTTGGTGGGATTCGGTTCACAATCACAAAGGTAACATTGTTGCCTTCTATTGTGACATGAAATTCCTGGGTGACAACGTAAAAGGAAAATTCCTCCGAAGTGACATTTCCCCACCGGTTGTCGGGGGGTGGGAGGGGGGTGGGCTCTGACGGTAAATGACCCCCCCCCCCCCGACTCCCTCCGCCGGTTGCCGTGTAACACAACATCTGCTGTGCATTTGCCGATGACTCACCGCAAAGAGAGAAAAAGAAAAAAAATCGTCTGAATCATCCCGCTGCCCAGATCGCTGGGAGAAGCGGAAACGCGCGGCGAGGTGTGCGCGCCGCTCAGGGAAAGTGTGAGTGTGCGGCTGGAGCGACGCCCGCGGGTGGGCGGAGACGGGTCCGGGCAGTGTTGTGGCGTTGCTGGGGCGCGGTATCCATGGAGACGGGAGGGAGCAGGAAGCCGTGATAGCGACGGGACAAATAAAGATTTAATCATTAAACTCGACTTGGGAGACGAATTGTCGTCAGATATTGTATCGGTCCCTGGACTCAGGAGCTAGCAATCTAATCCCAACCTCACATCAGTCCCTGGACTCAGGAGCTGACAATCTAATCCGACCTCACATTAGTCCCTGGACTCAGGAGCTGACAATCTAATCCGACCTCACACCAGTCCCTGGACTCAGGAGCTAGCAATCTAATCCCAACCTCACATCAGTCCCTGGACTCAGGAGCTAGCAATCTAATCCCAACCTCACATCAGTCCCTGGACTCAGGAGCTGACAATCTAATCCCGACCTCACACCAGTCCCTGGACTCAGGAGCTGACAATCTAATCCGACCTCACATTAGTCCCTGGACTCAGGAGCTAGCAATCTAATCCCGACCTCACATCAGTCCCTGGACTCAGGAGCTAGCAATCTATAGTCCTTACCTCATATCAGTCCCTGGACTCAGGAGCTAACAATCTATAGTCCCTACCTCATATCAGTCCCTGGACTCAGGAGCTGACAATCTAATCCCGACCTCACATCAGTCCCTGGACTCAGGAGCTAACAATCTAATCCCGGCCTCACATCAGTCCCTGGACTCAGGAGCTAACAATCTAATCCCTGCCTCACATCAGTCCCTGGACTCAGGAGCTAGCAATCTAATCTTGACGTCACATCAGTTCCTGGACTCAGGAGCTAACAATCTAATCCCGCCTCATATCAGTTCCTGGACTCAGGAGCTAGCAATCTAATCCTGACGTCACATCAGTCCCTGGACTCAGGAGCTGACAATTTATGGTCCCTACCTCACATCAGTCCCGGGACTCAGGAGCTAGCAATCTAATCCCGACCTCCCATCAGTCCCTGGACTCAGGAGCTAGCAATCTAATCCCGACCTCATATCAGTCCCTGGACTCAGGAGCTAGCAATCTAATCCCGACCTCACATCAGTCCCTGGACTCAGGAGCTAGCATCTAATCCCTGCCTCCCATCAGTCCCTGGACTCAGGAGCTAGCAATCTAATCCCGGCCTCACATCAGTCCCTGGACTCAGGAGCTAACAATCTATAGCCCCTACCTCACATCAGTCCCTGGACTCAGGAGCTAGCAATCTAATCCCTGCCTCATATCAGTCCCTGGACTCAGGAGCTAGCAATCTAATCCCGCCTCACATCTGTCCCTGGACTCAGGAGCTAGCAATCTAATCCTGACCTCACATCTGTCCCTGGACTCAGGAGCTAGCAATCTAATCCCGCCTCACATCAGTCCCTGGACTCAGTTTCGTTCATGTAGGTCAGCCCATTGAAGTGAATGGGCTGCCCTACGCGCGGCGCGCGGGAACGCGTGCCATGGTGACGTTAGGTGCGAAGCAAGCCTCAGATATCACCTTGTTGTGTCTTCTCATCCCTGCACACGCCACCATTTATCACTTCAGCGCGCACGCGGGGCGTGAAACACGCGTGTCACCATAATCGGCTACGCTTTTTATTACACCGCTCACATCAGTCCCTGGACTCAGGAGCTAGCAATCTAATCCCAACCTCACATTCAGTCCCTGGACTCAGGAGCTAGCAATCTATAGTCCCTCACATCAGTCCCAGGACTCAGGAGCTAGCAATCTAATCCTGACCTCACATCAGTCCCTGGACTCAGGAGCTAACAATCTAATCCCGGCCTCACATCAGTCCCTGGACTCAGGAGCTAGCAATCTAATCCCGGCCTCACATCAGTCCCTGGACTCAGGAGCTAACAATCTATAGCCCCTACCTCACATCAGTCCCTGGACTCAGGAGCTAACAATCTAATCCCTGCCTCACATCAGTCCCTGGACTCAGGAGCTAGCAATCTAATCCCTGCCTCCCATCAGTCCCTGGACTCAGGAGCTAGCAATCTAATCCCGGCCTCATATCAGTCCCTGGACTCAGGAGCTAGCAATCTAATCCCGACCTCACATCAGTCCCTGGACTCAGGAGCTAGCAATCTAATCCGCCCGCCTCATATCAGTCCCTGGACTCAGGAGCTAGCAATATAATCCCGCCTCACATCAGTCCCTGGACTCAGTTTCGTTCATGTAGGTCAGCCCATTGAAGTGAATGGGCTGCCCTACGCGCGGCGCGCGGGAACGCGTGCCATGGTGACGTTAGGTGCGAAGCAAGCCTCAGATATCACCTTGTTGTGTCTTCTCATCCCTGCACACGTCACCATTTATCACTTCAGCGCGCACGCGGGGCGTGAAACACGCGTGTCACCATAATCGGCTACGCTTTTTATTACACCGCTCAGCTGTTGCGTTTCCTACGTTTGAATGAGAGGAAGGCATTAAATTCGAGGAATGGAGCCGCCTCACTGGCAGCTGGAGCCGAGCCAAGGATCGGACAGGAAGTTTGCACAACGTTGTCGCTCCATCGGCGCGGTTTGTATACATCGTCAGCGTGGAGACGCCACAACAATCGCCGTGTTTTCGCAGAATACAGTAACAAAAGTTTGATCTGCAAGCGCCGCGCAGCAGCTGAACGGATCAGAATATTGCCAAGAGGGCCGCGCCGCGCCGGGCTAGAGGTTCTGCATAGAGAAAATGCCAGCTTCCTGGCTGCCGCGGCCATCCTCTAGGTCAGTGGTTCTCAACCTTTCTAATGCCGCGACCCCTTAATACAGTTCCTCATGTTGTGGTGACCCCCAACCATAAAATTATTTTCATTGCTACTTCATAACTGTAATTTTGCAGTGGGAGGAGTAGTGCCATGTCATTGGTGTCAGTGGAAGGAGTAGTGCCCCATCATTGGTGTCAGTGGGAGGAATAGTGCCCCATCATTGGTGTCAGTGGGAGGAATAGTGCCCCATCATTGGTATCAGTGGGAGGAATAGTGCCCCATCATTGGTGTCAGTGGGAGGAATGTCCCCAGTGTCAGTGGGAGGAATAGTGCCCCATCATTGGTGTCAGTGGGAGGAATAGTGCCCCATCATTGGTGTCAGTGGGAGGAATAGTGCCCCATCATTGGTGTCAGTGGGAGGAATAGTGCCCCATCGTTGGTGTCAGTGGGAGGAATAGTGCCCCATCATTGGTGTCAGTGGGAGGAATAGTGCCCCATCATTGGTGTCAGTGGGAGGAGTAGTGCCCCATCATTGGTGTCAGTGGGGGGAGTAGTGCCCCATCATTGGTGTCAGTGGGGGGAGTAATAGTGCCCATCACTGGTGTCAGTGGGGGGAATAGTGCCCCATCACTGGTGTCAGTGGGAGGAATAGTGCCACATCATCGTTGGTGTCAGTGGGGGGAGGAATAGTGCCCCATCACTGGTGTCAGTGGGGGGAGGAATAGTGCCCCATCGTTGGTGTCAGTGGGGGGAGGAATAGTGCCCCATCGTTGGTATTAGTGACACAAATGATGGGGCACTATCCCTCCCACTGACACCAATGATACTTACCTTGCTGACCCCTGTTCCAGCCTGGGCTCGCTCTCTCACTTACCTGTCAGCTGTCTTCCTTCTCTGGCCGCTCTCCTCTTCACTCGCTCCGGCAGCTCCCTCGGTCTTCTTTGATGTACGCGCGCTGCCGCTCGGCTCCTCCTCTCCAAGCTCCACCTCCTTGCCGGTGATTGGCCGCCTGTGTGCCTCTCCTGAGCTACAGTTCCGGTGGCCAATCAGCGGCGAGGAGGCGGAGCTGCTGAGCGATCCCGGAGGTGTGGCCAGATGACAGGAGCAGCGTATCATCCCGCCCACACATCGCCGGAGACTGCAGCGGTGTCTCGGTTCCTAAGACCATCGGAAATATGTGTTTTCCGATGGTCTTAGGCGACCCCTGGGAAATGGTCGTTCGACCCCCAAAGGGGTCGCGACCCCCAGGTTGAGATCCGCTGCTCTAGGTGGTCAGATTTCGGGAGTAAAATGTGGATGCGAAATGTCGCTGGCGTTGCGAAAAAAAGGTGCCAATTTTATTGCGCTGATTGCGCATGGCATTATCCAGGATTTGCACCCAAGCATCTTTCTCCAGAATGCATTTACCGCTGAAATCTGATAAATGTAGCAAACGCAGGTCAACGTGCGTGTGATGCAAGTGTGCGTTGTCGTGGGTTGCAATGCCCTTCGTACTGAATGTCGACATGTGCTATAGAAGAAGCAATACACGAGAGACGTGGAAGCAATGCAAAAAATGCGGGCCCCTAGAGGAAGCAATGCATGACATGTGGACCCCAAGAAGAAGCAATATACGAGTGGGCTCCTAGAAGAAGTACATGAGACGCTGGCCCCTAGAAGAAACAATACACGAGATCTGGGCTCCTACAAGAAGCAATACACAAGACATGGAAGCAATGCAAAAAATGCGGGCCCCTAGAGGAAGCAATGCATGACATGTGGA